CAGGATACTTGAGCTGGTGGCATTATAAACTATCTATATCAAATGGACAAAAAATTGTGACCCAAATGGATCCTCAGGCTTTTATTAGGTTGTCAATTGGATCTTTGGGATTGAGAATCCCAGGAGCTGCTCTAAACTCTGCAAAACCTGGAGTCAATGCTTTCTCTGCACCGTGTTCGTGTGAAATTCGTCTTCGGGGTTTCCCTGTGCAGACGTCTTCAATCCCGCTTCTCCCGTCTCCTGAAGCCATACCTGATTCTCATAGCATTGCCTCAAGCTTCTATCTTGAAGAGTCTGATCTGAAAGCATTACTAGCACCTGGCTGCTTCTATAACACTCATGCCTGTCTTGAAATATCTGTCTTCTCTGGAAGGAAGGGATCTCATTGTGGTGTTGGCATCAAGAGGCAGCTGATTGGGACGTTTAAACTGGATGTCGGTCCCGAATGGGGCAATGGGAAGCCAGTCGTTCTTTTCAATGGGTGGATAGGCATTGGCAAAAGCAAGAATGAGAATGGAAGACATGGAGCAGAGCTTCATTTGAGAGTGAAACTTGATCCTGATCCAAGATATGTTTTTCAGTTTGAAGATGTTACGAGGTTAAGCCCGCAAATCGTCCAGCTTCTAGGCTCGATCAAACAGCCGATCTTCAGCTGCAAATTTAGTCGAGACAGGTGATGCAACTCATGCAACACTAGAACAATAACTTTCTTCTGTTGAACATTTTGTGTTGGACTTCATATTTGACAGTTGAATCAAATTTATAGGGTATCCCAGGTGGATTCATTGAGCAACTATTGGTCAGGGTCAGGTTCTGGTGATGGCTCAGATTGGTTAGGTTCTGGTGATGGCTCGGACCTCAAGGTCGAGCGGAGAGAAAGAAAAGGCTGGAAGGTGAAGATACATGATCTTTCTGGCTCGGCTGTTGCAGCAGCCTTCATAACTACTCCCTTTGTGCCATCAGCAGGTTGCGATTGGGTTGCCAGGTCAAACCCCGGGTCTTGGCTGATTGTTCGTCCTGATGTCTGCATACCTGAAAGTTGGCAGCCATGGGGAAAGCTCGAGGCATGGCGCGAGCGAGGAATTAGAGACACTGTCTGCTGTCGCTTTCACCTTCTCTCCGAAGCTCAAGAGGGAGGGGAACTTCTTATGTCTGAGATCCATATCAATGCTGAGAGAGGTGGGGAGTTCTTCATAGACACTGACAAACAGTTACGAGCAGCAACAGTTCCAATACTGAGCCCGCAGAGCAGCGGAGACTTTGCAGCATTAGGCCAAGTGGTCGGAGGTTTCGTCATGAGTTGTAGAGTACAAGGGGAAGGAAAGAGCAGTAAGCCAATGGTGCAACTCGCCATGCGACATGTTACATGTACAGAGGATGCTGCCATTTTCATGGCACTAGCTGCAGCAGTTGGTCTCAGCATTGAGGCGTGTAGGCCATTCCGAAGGAAGATTAGGAGAGCGTCTCGGCATTCTTGAAGGAAAATGAAGTGTTTGTAAGGTATAATTGATGTGTAGAAACATAAACAAAGATGGGCATACAAATCTGTATGAAATTATCTGTGAAGGCTATAAAATTTAGCATTTTGTACAGTATGTGATTCAAGTTACTTGTGCCGTCTGATTGTCAAGAAAACTCAAAAGAATTGTAATATCTTGAAGTTAATAGCAACCATAGGGTTGAAATCAACAATGCTACTAGGCTTACCCATGGTCGATTCTTACGTAGCACTCGTTCAACGAGCAAATGTGCTTAGGTAGCTGTTATACATACTTTTAATACATTCCTTTTAAATAGGGACAAACACCATCAAAATATTTTAAAATACAACACCCAGCAGAAACAGAAGATTTTAATCTTAAACTTGATGATAGGAGTGAATAACAGGGAATGAAACTCTCCAAAGTATGAACATAGCAACCAAAAGCCGGACAAGAGAAAGTAATATTGCAAAGCAATAGTTTGATTAATAGCTTATCAATATAAAATTCTGTTATTGGTACTTAAGATCACTACTATTCCTCTGTTGTCTTAAGGAAACTTTCGATCTCGGTGATTATGCTCCGAGCATCTTCAAACTCCGGGCCTTTCACTTGTGTTGATTTTTCCAGTTCATCCTGGAGATGAAGAAGTCGATAAGGATTTGTTTTAGTAAACTAACAAAAATTGGGCACGTGCAGATAACCTTCTAGAATCAAGCTCCTCATAAGAGCAAAATAGGGAAGAATGAAAAGCCAATACCAGTGTTCCTTTCAGATCAGCTAAGGCAGCCTCCAGACGCTTGTGACAATCGGGAACCATCATCCTTGATTCAGCCAGCACGTTTTCCTGCTTACAGTGAGAATGCTAACTGTAAAATCATAATAATATATAGACCAATTGAAGAAGAAGATTCATATGATGATAACATTTCATTCAATCTCCATTACCGAAATAACATTTTAGTTGGTCGTTTTGATTTTATAGCTTACAAAACATAAAGTTGAACAGAAATTATGTTCCAAATTTGAGACCATTATTCTTCTCCATTTGTTCAAATCACTCATCTCCACGCTCACAAATTCTATTGTTCATATTGTGTAATGTTGAACAAGTCAGTCTAAAAAGTCTTCTTTAAGATATTCACCGATGGCACAAATAAAACCACAAGCAATCAAGCCAACAATAATCGTACAAACTTTTGATTATTAAGAATGCAAGCCATTTACGTACCTGTTGCTTAAGGTCATAAGGGTCAGCACCTTTTTCTTTCATGTCAGCTGTTTTGGCAGCTTCTCTCTCGACCTCCTTCTCGTAAGAATGCAACTCCTTGATAATGCGTTTGCAGGTTGCTGTCTTAATCTTCAGGTTCTTTACTGTAGCCATACTGTCCTATCATCAGAAGAATTTATCGTGGATTTGTAATCCACAAACCTCTTATAGGGGGGTCAAAACTCGAAATGGTTAAACAGAGAAGACTTTGCTTCTCACAAAAGCATGAAAATTGGAACTCCAAAAAGCATAATGGCACAAATTTGATTTACACGGTTAAACAAAGTTCATTACAAATTATTGTTATCAATTTCTTGTAGTTAAGTTGTTAAAGTTCGTTAGGGGTCGTGTGAATTCATGGTAATTAATCAGTAATACATTCTTTCCTCTTCTTAAACCCTAAGATGCTATCAGAACTTTAGACTCATGGTTTTCAAAGTTTCCTGTATCATGGAGGTAAGCTCTTCTTCAAATTTCTCAGGGGTAATAATGTTCATTCCCACCACACCTCTAAACAAAAAATCATGGTGAAGCTCGTGGATACCAAATTTCTTTAACAGTGAAGATCACTACAATGTCTATGATAAAGTGTCGCCCACATTTTTAATACCCGTAGATGTTCCAAGGAACAATTTCAACCAAGTCAAGGTTTCTCCGGACAAGATTCTTGTTCAAAGAGAGATATGCACTTGATCAATGAGCGTCTTATCAAAATATACAACTAGCCTAGGGGGTAACATTACACAAGACCTGTTATTCTGAAGAAACAGAAGCATTGTTGTAGCTCAGAATCACATAACATATTGATAACATCAATGTTGCTACACACACAAGTTCACGGTCTTAGAAGAACTCCCAACCAGAGCTTTCTAGCCGCACTAGCACTCGGAGTGGCGACAAAAACTCATATATTCAACCTACGCTACGAATTTCAATAAATATCAAGACTTCGATTGCTCATTTCATTTGAAGAGACGATTAAGCCCTAACATAAGCGTAACCACAAAAAGACGTAATCTATCTCAAATCTAAGCAAATCTATAAAAGAAATAGGAGAAGCAGAAACGCATATGAAATCATAGACGATACGCCGCCCAAGATCTAGACACGGCGAAACTAAAAGATGAAGAAGAAAGGCAGAAATGGCTAACAAAGGGGAAACTGGATCGAAGGATCAATGCATGTCGAGATTCAATAGATTGTTACGATCGGAAATCATTGGAGAAGATTGAAAAAGCGCAAAAGCTAGAAAAAGCGAAGGAAAAAACCGACCTGCGCAGGAAGAACTTGATCGTCGACGAAATCTTGAACCAAAATTCTACGGAGTTGGTGGCGAAGAAACCCTGATCTCTTCTTTGGGAGTTGCTTCCTTTTCTATTAGCATATCAATGGAGTTTTCCACCCAAATAATGCGCAGTGCAAAACAAGCCACACGACCCCGCTTTTCGGTCCCAAAAAACGGATTTTTTTAAAGCTAAATTACACTTATTAAATTTTAATTAGTATAGCTATAAAAATTTGTCAATAATTTTATTATTCTAATTAATTTATACTTAATTAATTAATTTTAGTAAATAAATTAAATGGTGTAATAACAAGGTTACTTATAATTAATATTTAATGCAAAAAAAGTTTATTCATGATTAATTAAACTACCTACTAAATAATACTAAATTTAAGGGACTATATTCAATTTCATACTCATTACGAATCTTACGCTTTTACTTCTTAAAAGAGTTTCTATTTGGACGGTGAATTTTAAGATATTAATTTTTGCCTTAAAGTTTTTTCAATAAAAGATAAATGAAAAATTTAACGGAAATGAGAATTAAAATAACAGAGTAAGAGGTAATAACAAAGATAGGGAAGACTTTCTATACTCGTCTCAAATTCGAAACGAAAATAAAACCAATGCTAAAAATATCATATAAAACCTTCTATGGTCGAACAATATTCTAAAAAGCAAGCTAATAACAATAGAAAAGGGCAGGTTTGAATCTTTATATTAACACGAAACTATATTAGGATACAAAACAAACAAACAATTTAACCTTAATATTTCAGAATTTGAAGGAAAAAAAAATGGCAATGTTCATTGAATAATAGAACACCAAGCGTTTTTAATCGTCAAAATTAATTACGATTATAACATTCCTCATCGATTCACTTCCATTTTTGCTGACCCTTCAAGTTTCTCATCTCTATATATTTATTCGAATTCCCCATTCATTTTCATCATCAATTAACCAATGGCAATCATTGTCTCACTGATTTTGTTAATCTCCTCCGCCGCCTCCTCCGCTGCTGCAGACGGTGGCTATGGCTTCTCGGTCGAACTGATCCACCGTGACTTCCTCAAGTTCCCACTTTTCAACGCATCAGAGACACACTACCAACGCATTGCCGACGCTCTCCGTCGCTCCATCAGCCGTGGGACGGTGTCACCGCCAGACACGGGGAAAGCCCCAATATACACGAGCGGAGGCGCGTATGTTGTGAAAATATCCCTCGGAACGCCGCCGTTTTCGATTGTAGCCATTGCTGACACGGGAAGCGACATTATTTGGACTCAGTGCAAACCTTGCCCGAATTGCTACCAGCAAATCGCGCCGATGTTTGATCCGAGTAAATCGTCGACTTACAAGACAGTCTCGTGTTCCTCGCCGACTTGCTCGATTACAGGGCCGGGAAATTCTTGTTCCTCGAATTCCGTGTGCGAGTACTCCATTTCTTACGGCGATGGATCCCACAGCAACGGAGATATTGCCGTTGATACCCTTACAATGGACTCCACCTCCGGCCGCCCCATGGCGTTTCCACGGACTGCCATTGGCTGTGGCCATGACAATGCTGGCTCTTTTGATTCTAAAGTTTCTGGGATTGTTGGGCTCGGTCATGGTTCAGCTTCTCTTGTCCAGCAGATGGGGCCGGCCACTGGCGGAAAATTCTCTTACTGTTTGGCACCCATCGGAAACTCTAACTACTCGAGCTATCTTAACTTCGGCTCTAATGCTATCGTCTCTGGCTCGGGAGCCGTCTCGACTCCAATTTATACCGGCAGTAAATGCAAACGTTTTTTTATTGATAAAATGATTAGTGGGTAGTTAAATGTTGAGTAAAAAAAAATCATGGGTAAAAAAAAATCATAGGTATATAACTAAAAGATTGATAATACTACAGTCATGCTCTTAATTTAATCATTATAGAATGTTTGGACGTTGAGCGAGCAAGTCGTGTGCTCTAGAGAAAAGGAGTTCACTTAGTTTAGGGTTTAAAAATACTTGTAGTGCGCTCCAGAGAAAATGAGCAGACCCGTATTTAGAGTTTAAAAGTGGATAATACTGGTCGTGTGCTCTAGAGAAAAGGAGCTGATGTGGATTTAGGGTTTAAAAGTGGATAATATTATACTTTTACGGTGAGTTCATTCGTTGTATTACGATGAATTGTATAAGTACTAATTAGTTTTTGTTCATGTGTGTAGAAGGCTACTACAAAGTTTTCTACGTGCTGAAAATAGAAGCAATGAGTGTTGGAAGCAACAAATATAATTTTTCAAGCTCTTCACCATTTGGAACAAAGGGGAACATCATTATCGACTCCGGCACGACGCTTACATTCTTACAACCGGACATCTTTGCTAGCTTCTCCGAGGCGATTTCCGAGGTGATGGACCTCAAGTCCACGACTAGTCCAATTCAAACCTTGGAGTTTTGCTATGAGAGCACCACCGACGACTATAAGGTGCCGCCAGTCATAGCGCACTTTAAAGGTGGCAAGGTGAATCTCAAGCGAGAAAACCTGTTCATTAGGGTGGCGGACGACGTCGTTTGCTTGGCATTTGTTGGCAACAGTGAGAAAAACAGCATGCAAATCTACGGCAACATTGCACAGACTAACTTCTTGGTTGGCTATAATATCAAGAAATCGTCTGTTTCTTTCAAGCCAGCAAATTGTGCTGCCTCGTGATTATCATGTTCTTGTTATTATGATTTTCTGTTGTTTGAACGACTTACGTACTTCATTTTAAAGATTAAAATATTTCTCGAGGCTTATTCCTATTAACCTCTAAATATATATATATATATATATATATATATATATATATATATATATATATATATATATATTT